GCAGCCATATCAGGAGCTTAATCCCGTCTATCAGTAACCGGTGTCTATTGAAGCTTATTTTCAGTTATAGGGAAGAAGATACAAAACTACAGGAGTTCCTAACTAATGTAGTTATTGCTGGAATAAAGCCCTTAGAGGTAGGTGACTTTAATGCACTGGAAATGGGAGGAACTATTCTCATCTCCGGCAGTGTAGGGCACTTAAGCCGTGCCAAATATTTAGGATGCCTGTAACAGTCAAAAGAACCAAAAATGTCTCTAAATGACCTTGCATTTTCTTATCTTTCTTCGCCATTCTATCATGTATTTTTTTTCTGAAAGTGGTTTTCATGTCGGTGAATTTTCTATTCTGAACCCTCTGTTTCACTTCAGTTCAGTTCAGTTTGCACAGGACAGTAGTGGCCGAGACCAATCGTACGTCCAGATAGTTGTNCTGAAAGCCAGAATATTTAGGTGCAGTATCTCATCCACCAGATATGTAGAAATGAAATACATTATTACAGGAACGACTCCCCTTATTCCGTTGTTGTTCCTCAAGTGGCCAGCTCCGGGAAAACCACATCCCAGTACAGATCCAAGGCCTTTTTGAAGGCTACAACTGTTGAGCCGCTTACAACATTTTCCGGTAATCTGTTTCATCTCTTTTACGGTGAAGCATATCTATTGGACACACACTTCAAGTGCTTGACTCTTATATGTAAATGGAATTCAGTGCTTTTTCTTGTTTTCTTACTGCTGGCGGCCGTGTACTGTATTCCATGTTGAGAAACCTGGCGTTCCCTGAGGCTCCAGGCAAACTAACATACGAGTCCCTGAAATCGCTGCTGCTCAACCATCTGCTTCCCACTAAGNCCATGATTCGTGCTGATCATGTTTCCTGCCGTGAATTCATCCTGCAGCTGAACAAACAGGCATCACGTCACAACTATGGTGATCGCCTGGAAGAACAAATGTTTGACCGTTGGGTGGTAGGTATCAATACTCTGACTCTCCAACGGAAGTAGCTGGAAAAGAAAGATTTCACTTTTGCCGATGCCGGCATGATTTGTGAGCAACATGACGACCTGGTGAAAGCCACTTCCAGCGAATCAGTCACATTATTCCAACGGCAGAAGACCCTCCCAAACCGACCTCCAACGACCAAGTATGTACCGAAACCGCAGCACGACTCTTCAGGTAACGAGAAACGTATCAATCCGTGTTTGTCAGTCGGCTTTACCATCTGCACTCCAATTATCGCTTCCGAAATGCCAAGTGTCATGCATGCAGGAAAGCTGACCACATTCAGAGAGTGTTTAAACGGCCCCATTGCAATCTCACACAGCCATTGGTTGACGAAGAAACCAGCCCTGTGTTCTCCCTACGAACCCAAAGTCAACGTGCCCAGTACCTATACCAAGATGTGACATTCCAGTCGGGTACGAGGCATAATTTCATTGTGGATACCGGAAGTACGGAATCTACCATTTCAACTAAAGTACTGCAGTCTATCTATCCGGAAGCACAAGCTCATCTAACTACTGTGCACATTATTGGCATTACTGATGATAAACTGCCATTGGTGGGGAATGTGTCGCTATTGGTTCGATCAGCGAAAAATTGCTTCATTCCAGTTCGATTTCCGGTCGCTGATAGAATTAATTCCATTCTTGGCCCGAACGCCTTACGGAAATTGAACGAACCTGTGTCAATGCATTTCTGCAAAGCACCGATTGTTCATGCCCAGTGGCGGAGGCAGACCACGGGCAGTCCCACTAACGTTGGAACTATGTGCACACAATCCTCCAAATCGAGAAGTATTGGATGCCGACAGTTACACACAATATCACATTGCTCCTGCTTGCACGATGCAGCGAAGAATATGGCGAGAACGGTGAAAAGTGCTATTTCATCGGCAAGCCAGAAGACGGTGTCACAGTTTGAAGAACTGCTGAAGAATGTCCTACCAAAGTGCGAGAGTTTCGTGCACCACAAGTTCAAAGAAAAATCGGTGAAACCGCTCAAATCACGAAGATCGCGAACATCAGTGCGATTTGTTACTTCGGCGAACGATTCAGCTGATCAGCAACGAAGAATCTACCCAATATTCACAAGCGACTCTACAAGTTTGAACGATCAATTCATTGAACCTACACCCTCAAGTACAAGAATCAGAAAATAGGAATCCGAGGATCCTGAAGTGCCTAACAGAGAGATTACTACATTTGCCCCACGAAACTCAATCCCAGGAAGAGTTCAGTTCCATGAAGTTCTTTTGAGGGAGGAGAGTTGTGGTGATAGAGGCCTACACGATGGCGCCTACCCTGGAGCTGCGCGTTATAGTTTCAGGACATTNCATTTGCGATCAATGAAGTTTGAATGCTGACATCAGTGACACTTGCATGGCTTCTGAATACACGTCATTGGTGGACGGTGCCAGTCAATCCAAGACAGTGCAGACAGAAGCAAGATTATGCAAGCAGTACTGCAATCCCATTGGCAGAGATAGCCCAGATAGCCAATAATCTCCCTTTTTACATATTATTTAATCACCCTCATTTCTTTCAATAAACGAACTACTGCTTACTACCGTTCCTGTGGCCTTTTCCTCGCGTTTCGTTCTCGTGGGATATTGCGAATCCGTGCCATTGTGGTCCAGTGCTTCTGAGATCCAGTCTGTGATAGCTAATTATTGATTCGGGTTCTGTGATTCATATTGCGTGTTTGGTGTTCCGAATTCCGTTCGTACTACCACTACTACTATAATCATTACATGAAGTTTTGATCGGATGCTCTTTGTTGGACTAATCGCTGCTTTCGGTTATATTGAATCCCTTTTGGCTGTAACGCTCAAAATGTTTTTGCTTGATCTGTTGAAGCGTGCAGAATTTTCCAGAATTATCTGAAAGGTAATTGAAATCACTCATTTGCTTATTTACTCCTTATTACCGTAGATATTTTCTATGAATATTTGTAACATTTTGGCTGAATACTGAATCAGGCTAACCATCAGAGGTATGACTGCCCTATGCATTTGTGTTTAAAGCAAAAAATACCGTAGATTATTTTTTGATCCACTTGGTTCTCGATAACTTCGGCTACGCGTAGCTCTGACTTTTGGTTATTGCTATCCAGAACAAGCGAAGGGTCATTTGATTGAACGTATACAGACGAGGTCTTTTTCGTTTCGCTCGGACCAGGACAATCGCGGTTTGGTCATTACATGCCTTTTCTGTTTTTAACTGGTGCACGTTATGGAATGCTCACGTCTAACAATTCACTTGTCAACTTGGTGGGATGACATCCTATTTCTCATTCTTATTTCAGCAGAACTGGGTACCCAAGTAGTGAGCATATCATCGAAAGGAATTCTGGACACTCGATTGGCTGTGGCCATATTCAGTCCTGCGCAACCTGACCTAACCTGGCCTAATCTTAGATAGACTGGACAGCCTTTTCTGTGCCGGAATGGTCTTTCGGCGAATCTTTAGTCAAATTGATCATAGAAAGAGCTCTTTATTGATACATCGATGGAACAACTGGATGGAGGCATGGTCAAGCACCATCAACGCTTGATTTGGTGACCATCAAAGTAATGAACGAAAGTGAAGTGGTCCGGGTAGAAGAACTGCTAGGCAAGAGTGATCAGGCAGTCATAAGACTGCTAATAGTGAATCAAGGACCACTCGTCCCGGATGGGTATCGAAGGAAATTCTTTAGGATAGATCACAGTAGACTGAGGGAGTTGGGTCAACAGGTTTCGTGGACTGTAAACCATCAAGAAGACTACCTAGAAGAGCTGTGGATTAAGATTAAGGATAATCTCAAAGCATTCACAGATGTAGTTGCACCCCTGAGAAAGGTCAGAAGAACGGAGGCAACGCCTTGGTGAATAAGTGCATTTAGAAAGGCAATGAAAATAGACTCAAATTGGCACCAGCGGAAAATTCTCTTACCTTACCTGACCAGAAGCATGTATCTGGTGCAAAGGATCCAGGAATAATGATTACAAACGACTTTATGCCATCCTTGCAGTGCAAGCGTGCGGCCAATAAAGCTCGATACGAACTTATCGGGTTGTGCGCTGGATACCCTGCACATGGAGAACATTCAGGCTGCCGGGTGCGTAATCAAGCCCACAGAAGAAGGGTTAGAAGTCCTGTGTGTTTATCGTAGCCCAACCGCAAGCATCGACGAAAATAAGTTGCTAATAGATTTTCTCCGGTACACCAAATCTTGGGCAACTAAGGTTCTTGTCTTGGGGGATTTCAATGCTCCTGAGATCGAATGGGAGATGAAGTATGCGCCAGTGAGCAGCTTCGGGGATGAGCTACTAGAAGTGAGGCACGAATTGGCGCTCACCCAGGACCAGTTATTCATCAATCGCACCCGATGTCGACTGGGTAACTCTCCAATCACCTTAGATCTTGTGTTTACCAAAAGCAGGAATGATATCGGGAACACTGCCGTAGGTGCACCGCTAGGCAGAAGTGACCATGATAGTATCCGGTGCCAATGCGTCTGTGCTCTTCTTCCTCTCAAGTAAAATTGCGTCGACGCTTTGGACCCATGAATATCGAATATCTCCAGGCTGCAGCAAAGACCATGGTCCGGTCAGAGGCAAACTATGGGATTGTAGAGTCGTGGGACTTGATCAGGAATAACCTGCTGACTCTCACCAATAGTGTCCCACCTCTGTGTCCCGTTAGGTCTAGGACCACTCCACCTTGGTGGTCCAGTCGAATGAAAAAAGCCCTAATTTGTAAAAGGCTCGCTTGGCGGAGACTCTGTGCTATAAGCGGTTATCTTAGACACATTCAGTACTTACGTCAGCTTAAGTCTTTCGACCGCATCCTCCTGGATGCCAAAAGAGCTTCCGAGCTTTCTCCGGCCAAGAAAGCTAAGCTTTACCCTAAGGCTCTTTACGGGTATGTCCATTGTAAGTCGACTACAAGGGAAGTAGTCGGCTGTATCCGGAAAAGCACAACAACCCCGCCACGGCAAACTCCCAGAAGGCCATCGCCTTGTGTGAGCACTTCCAGAGTGCATGCACGAAGGACGAGGGCATCCTACGAACCATTCACTAGCCAGTAGGATTCACGCTGATGAAGGAAATCATCTTCCTTCAGGGGGAGGTGGAAAAGACCCTGATCAGTTTAGGTAGGGGCAAAGCGGCGGGTCAGGATGAAATCCACCCGGCAATGTTGAGGCATCTAGGGAGTATCCTGGCAGCCCTGTTAGCTCATTCCTTCAATCTGTCCATGGCAACAGTCACATTGCCACAGGACTGGAAAGTAGCTACTGTGGTCCTCACCCACAAAAGGGGCGACCGAGAGCTGGCCACTAACTACACGCCTGTTACCTTACTCTCCGTGATCCTGAAGGTCATGGAAAGGTTAATCAGGAATAAGATGGCTAGCTACCTCACCCAATGAGGCCTGCTGGCGGAGGCTCAGTACGGGTTTCGTACAGGCTGACCTTACCTCACAAATCTGCTAGCCTTCCTGGATGTCGTGACT